AAAAAAAAAAAAAAAAACAGTTTTCTTTAGCTGATTGTGATGCATTATTCGAATTTATTTCGTTTTAATATTTTTCGCAGTACTTGAAATGCCTTGGATAGAGATAACCCAGCGTAATTCCCTAGCTGTGCAGCTGAAAATTTTTTATTTCAGTTACTTTGTTCAGTGCTTTATCGTCTGATATCAAGTCTAGCTACCGATCCTAACGCTCAAATTTCTTCTGGACGAATTGCTTATTACCACCTCAAAACGTTCCCTCTGCTTTTTTTGTGTAATTTTTCACCTTACATGTTAGCGGATCTCTTATGTTGCTTAGTAACGACTATTACCTTAGAAATTTATGTTTCGAAAGGTATCAAAATCTTACTGATCTGTTTTTGACAAAGTTTTCAAGAACTTTTGTGACCGTGTTTAGCGGGAAACATTTCAGGTTAACCGACGATTTATCATTTTTGCAGCGATACTATAATTTTGCATCATATTTTCGTGCCCTTTTCATTCATCAGCACCTAATTTTGCGACGAATCGACAAGCTTTTCAAGGTTAAAAGCCATTTTTTTTTTAACATTATATATTTTTCGTCGTGTTCCTTCAGTGCTCCAGCCGTCAGAGGCTGGTCGAGAGGTAAGTTGGCGGCGATTTGGTTTTTATCAAGTCATAAAATGCCCGCCTTTGAAGTTCACCTTTCGTAGAACAAAATGAACCTTCAGGATTGATCAGGCGATGCAGCACTGATTGAAGGAGCCAGAAAAGTTACCATCTGCACAGCTAGAGAACCAGTCTACGAGTTAAAAACCGGCTCTAGCAACTGGTATATAAATAGCGAGGTTTTATTCCCTTCATTTTTTTTTTTTTTCAGAAATATTATGGTGACTTGCTACCAGAAGCTTTTTATATCGAGCGTAATGCATCGGTGAATTTCGTCAATACACCGCAAATTTTTGATTTTGCTCGACCGTATATGCCACGGGTTACGTTTGTTGGTGGAATTCAGTGTCGCAATGCAACGCCACTAACTGGGGTTCGTTATTTCTTTATTCTTGCCCCTTTCCATCCGTTTTGCCGCAGAAGAAACATTACTTTGTTATTAAGTTATACTTATTTCTGGTTTGAACCTGCTTATGAAACAGTGGTCCTGTGAGTCGTTTCAGTGAAATTTGATGCCTTCAGTCTCCCAGTGTATCATGCCATCATAAGCTTATTTCTCAGTTGTTACCGTTGATAACTCTCTGATTGAGGGTACTGATTGAGGGTCTGCATGTGCAGATCCAGGAGAGAGGACGATTGGATCTTTGGCCCCCCTTCCCCTCCCCTCCTCAGCGGCACAGGCTCCAGTGGTGCAGAAGTCCGGGTTTAAAAGTAAAACTAAAGAAAACTTTTTTCCGCACCCCCTCCTCCCATGGCCCTCACCCTATGGAACCCCACTTCTCTCTTCCCCCGACACCTGCTCGTCACCGCACCAGTAGACCCATTCCCTTTCACCTTCGCCCCCCCTCCCCCTCCCTCCTTTCTCCCTGAACTCTCATCCTTCCCCCTCCCCTGTCCGTCAGGAAGTCGCCCTGAATGGCTATCTTTGTGCTGCCACTCCGGTCAAATCGTGTCCGGATGACTCTTGCCCAACAGAGAGGCTCAAGTATCGAGTGAATTTAACTTTATGTTGTTGAGATATCAAGCGGTTGCTCTTTCCATACTCTTATTTTGCAGGATTTGCGCACCTTCGTTGATGAGTCAGATGAAGAAAATGGATTTGTTCTGTTTACTGTCGGTTTTACGGGACAGTGGAAATTTGCTCCAAAAGATATTATTGTTAGTGCTTAATATCATTTTATAGTTATTGATGGTTATTCATTTGTTTTTTCGAGTGGTCAGTTTGTAATGTGTTACTGAAGTGGTGTCTGTAGTTCGCGCAAATTTGGAAATGCCAAAAAAGCAATGTGAAAAACCTCCATGAAGTTACGAGATGCATTCTCCAAGACTTTTATAACATCGATTATGAAAATGGCATTTTTCAGTCCTGTTGTGCTACCAGTTATGTTATAAATTAGCAAATCATGGAATACTCACTTACTGAAGAGAAAAAAAAAATCGGTACAGACGCACACACATGCAGACAACCCCTCGACAATATGCCTTTTTGCATTGCATAGGTGCGAAAATCGCATAAAAATTAGCAGTGACCAAGCAGGCCACGAAACGACGAATGAATGTGTGTAGCAAGTTTCAGCACATCTAGCACGTTTCGGCCATCCCGAAATTCTCTGTGCTGATATTCTTTGAATAAATTCAGGGGTATTCTAATGGCCAAAATTTCAGGAGAGTTTTGTACAAGCGTTTGCGGAGCTGCCCGAGAAGCGATTTATTTGGCAGTACAATGGTCCGAACATTCCAAATCTTCCTAGCAATGTTTACATCGCCGAATGGCTCCCGCAGCAAAACTTATTAGGTTATTTAGTTTTTTTTTTTTTTGTAAGCAGTGATGTTTGTTTGAAATAAGTACCATTTAACTAGGTTACCAAGTCACGGTACATACAGGCTTGCTTATTTGGAAGATCTAAATGGCACTTCCACTGTCTTCATTAGTTATCAAAATTCGACTGTGTTCCTCTTCACGATAGGCTAATAACGCCAAACAAACTGCATATGTTAACACGTGGAAGATTTGAGGTCCCCATTCTCTCCCAGTTTTCTTGCCAGGGATATTCATTGTTTGCATTTTTAAAATTTCTATTTTTTTCAGGACATGCAAAAGCACGGGCGCATATCACGCATGGTGGCCTGAACAGTGTGATAGAAAGTGTCTGGCATGGTGTGCCAGTGATTGGAATTCCACTAACTACCGCCGGTTATGATAATTTGCTTCGTCTAACGGCTCGTGATGTGGGCATATTCTTACGAAAACAGAATTTGAACAAGGAAAGCATCAAAGATGCTATCAGAGAAATCTATAATCCCAAGTATGATTACTTTTATAGGCGAACAATACTTAATCATGCATATCAAATTCATTTACGCATATAAATGAGATCAGTCCCTCTGGAGTTGCATTCTTTTGAAAGAAGTTACATTCTAGCCAACCGACAAAGAATCTACGCCATCTAGTCATTAAATCACCTATCCTAGCCCCCTTCCTTGCTTCGAACGGAACCCGCGACATACCACCATGGGTAGCTTCCCTAATGAATTGTTACGTTTGCCAAAATGCTATTGTTCTGGTTGCCTTTGGTTTCTTCCCTTCTCGTAGAGAGTATGACAGTGATGGAGCCTTTTTTAAAGTAAAATTTAGGCTGCTTTTATCAGTAAAATGCTTATTATATTTTATGATGATTTAAATTATATTGTTTACAGCCATTTATTTCGGTATTATTTATTTGACGTGTAAAATCAACAAATGATCATGAGGATATATAATTTGATATTGTGATAATCTGTTGATTCCTCGTCGCATTACTTTTCGCCATTGATGCAGCTGGCAGCTTCTCCATTCTTCCTTTTAATATGTTTTTCTCATCCACGTATTTCTTCTAGACACTTCAGCTTATTGAGGCCTTTTCTGTGTTCTTTTAACATTGCGTGGGTACAGCTGAGAATCAGCTTTGCCATTTTGTTGTCTCAGTTTAATCATACGATCAAATCAGACCAATGGTGCCATGAAAAAATTCAGCGAGTAGATGTACGTCAGTAGTGACAGAAAAGTTTATAAACATTAGTAAACCTCTGAATAAATATTTATCTTCACGATAGATATATTTGGTGTGCAGCTTTAAAGTTACATACAGTTTTAAGCATCAAAATAGTTTGTTAGCGTTGAAATTTTTCTTGAGTTCGGGACCGATTTTTGGTGCTTTTTTCAAACTTATTGTGATTGGCACCTCTAGTTTTTTACGGCTCTCCATATTTTCAATAAATTTGCCTTACAGGTACAAAAAGGAGATGCTTACTTTTCAAGATATGCTAGTAGATGTACCGTACACCGAGTTAAATCATTCGGCATTTTGGGTTGAATTTATCGAGCGCCACAATGAGGTTTGCACAAATTATTACTATTCACTATTGATTTAGTGCTAATTTTTTTTCGTGACAGAGGATTATTGCAAATGTAAATAAAGAGAGTTTAAGATGAACTACTATTTGAGTGATCAGAGGTGGACTCAAGACTGATTCCTGGGAATAGGCAACAACTGGCTCGGTTAAGGGGGGGGGGGGGGGGGGGG